CCCCGAGTTCGGGTCACCATCATCGGCCAGGGCCGGCCGGAGCTGGGCGCGGGTGTCCGATCCGACTCGATTCGGGGCGATCCCCCGCCGATCCGATCCGTTTCCGAGCCGATCCGGCTTCGCGATTCGATCCAGCTCGGGCCTGCCTTCCCAGACCTTCGACGGCTCGAGCGTTTTGGGTCCCTGGCCACCCGGGGGCCGGCTGGCGGGCTCCAACCCCATGTGGTAGTCACTCGCGGGGCTATGGGTCGCCCAGGGCTGCTCCGCGGTGCCTGGCATGCACGGGCGTCGGGCGACCCCCCGCCCGAGCGGAACGAGGCAAGCGCGAAGAGGAGGAACACGTCCTCTGTGTTTCTTGATTCCCCCCCTGGCAGGGTCTACTCTGGTCATGCGTGGTCTGGTCTAGTCTGGCCTGGCGGGTTCTTGTGCGGACTGGTCTGGTGTAGTACTGCCTGCCAGGTCGACAGAGAGAGAGAGAGAGAGAGAGAGAAAGAGATAGCAGTGCTATGAACGAAGTAGTGTGGCGCCCTTCCTGAGGGCGCCTCGAGGCTCCCTTGAGGGCTTATTCGGCGCCTTCAAGAGGATCTCGCGCCCCTATTTGGAGCCGCCTCCTCTACAGTCTTGGAAGCTCGTTGGGGGTATGGGACTCTCTTGGGGCCCCTGTATGGCAGTGTCTGAGAAAGCTGTACAGAATACCTTGGGGGCTTCTTTGGCCGTCTTAGAGAAGCCTCAGGCCGTTCTGGGTGCGTGTTGGGGGTCGGATGTGCTGTCGGATGATGATGATGATGATGATGATGATGATGATGATGATGATGATGATGATGATGATGATGATGATGATGATGATGATGATGGTGATGATGTGTATGGTGAATGGTGCATGGTGTTGGTGTGGTGATGATGCTGATGCTGATGATGATGCTGATGATGATGCTGGTGGCTGGTGCCTGGTTGATGGTGATGATGATGGTGATGATGAGGATGATGCTGATAATGATGCTGATGCTGATGCTGATGATGGTGATGGTGATGGTGATGGTGATGGTGATGATGATGATGATGCTGATGCTGATGCTGCTGATGATGCTGCTGCTGTTGATGGTGCTGATGATGCTGATGATGATGATGCTGCTGATGATGCTGATGATGATGATGATGCTGCGGGTTCTCCTGCTGCTGCTGCTGATGATGATGATGCTGCTGCTGATGATGATGATGATGGTGGTGGTGGTGGTGGTGATGATGATGATGATGGTGGTGGTGGTGATGATGATGATGATGATGGTGGTGGTGGTGGTGGTGATGATGATGATGATGGTGGCGGTGGTGGTGGTGGTGATGACGATGATGCTGATGATGATGATGATGATGATGATGATGATGGTGATTATTATCATTATTATTATCATTATTATTATTCGTATTATTATTAGTATTTTTATTGTTATTACTATTAGTATTATTATTATTAGTATTAGTATTAGAATGGTTACTAATATTATTATAATTTCCATTCTTACCATTACCTTTTTATTGTTTACTATTAACAATTTGTAGTAGTGTTCTGAGTATTCGTACGCTGCTGCTGATGATGATGATGATGATGATGATGGTGCTGCTGATGATAATGATAATGATGATGAGGATGATGATGGTGGTGACGGTGAATGCACCTTTCTTGCTGAATCAGTGGTGTTTCGTGACACGGATATTTGTTTGCCCCTTTGGGGGTCTGCAAACCCAGAAGTGGCCTCGCGTGCTAAGCGCTCTGGGCCAAGATGCTTGCAGAATTGCCACTATATACGCGAGAGAAAAATCACGAACATGTCGCAACACCCTCTTCCCCTTGCCACGCTGTCTTGGGAGCCGTCTGGGGGCCGACTCGGCTGTCTTGGAGGCTTCTTGGATACGGGCGGAGGAGCGCGGCACAGCCGCAGCGCTGCCCGATTCTCCTGGCCGCCGGTGCGCCAACGCTCCCGGAGACGCGCAGAGAGGCTCCGATCTCGCCATGGGCACTTGAGACCTGGACCCCCTCCTCCTCCTCCTCCTCCTCCTCCTCCTCCTCCTTCTTCTCTTTTTTTGGTTTTTGTTTTTTTTTGTTCCCTCTCCTCCTCCTGCTCCTCCTTCTCCTCCATCCTCCTCCTCCTCCTGCTCCTCCTCCTCCTCCTTGGTCCTCCTCATCACTCCTCCCCCCTCCTCATCCTCCTTTCCGCCTCCTATCTCATCCCTCCTTCCTCATCCTCCTCCTCTCTTCCTCCTCTCCTTCTTCTGTTTTTTCTCTCCTTCTCCTCACTCCTGCTCCTCCGTATGCCCCCTCCCCCTGCCCCTCCTCCTCCTCCTCTTCTTCCTCCTCCTCCTCCTCCTCCTCCTCCTAGAGGGGTCCGCCCCGCCGCCAGGTGGTGAGGTGCGGCACGGAGGCTCCACGAGCAAGGAAGCAGCGCAGGCAGTGAACCCAGGCGTGTGCACATCGGCGACGGGCCTCGCTCCGGTGCAAAGTCGGCCCGCTCCGCCGCCAGACCATACTGCACTGGCCCCGTGTTTCGGGGCTATCTCCTCTCTGGGGCCAGAAGGTGTGCTCTCCCAACCTTCTGGGACAGGAGAGCACCGCTCCACGGATTGGGGGAGCCGTGTTCCCCACCCGACTCGACAGGGTTCTGCCTACCCTCACGGCATTTGCACTTCACTACTATCATCCTGCTCCTCCTCCTCCTTCTTCTTCTTCTTCCTCCTCCTCTTTTTTTTGTTGACTTTGAGCGGACTTTGATCCGAAAATTGTAGCGGCCGCCTCCTCCTCCTCCTCCTGCTCCTCCTCCGAGGCTGAGTGCCGACGATCCACCTGCACCGATCCTTGGGCCACAGAGGCCTCCCAGGTTGGGTCCGAGAACTCGGCGGCGAGCCCTGGGGGAAGTGATAAGGGGCGGGCCTTCTCAGAAGGCTCGGAAGTCCCCCCTGAGCCTTCCCCGAAGGCACAGGGAGCCTCTCAGAAGGCCGGAGGCCTTCTGAGAAGTCCAGCCGCCTTCTAAGGGCCTTTCTCCTTCTCACTTCCCCCCTCGCTTTCCGCCGATTCTCCGATCCGGGGATCTGGCGCCCACCGGGCAGATCCACGGATTCGTAATCCATGTTGGCGCGTGCCCGCATGTAGTGCTTCCCATTGCTGGCCCCTCGCCTTTTGTACCTGGCGGGTGCTCTCGAGTTTGATTCGAGATCCATCCAGTGCCCCGAAGCACGAGTGTTGGCCAGCGACCGTTCCAGACACCTAGAGTTCAGAGCCTTCCTTTGTCGTGGCTCGCGAGTGTCTAGCCTTGCCACACTGCGCACGCAGATGCCCGCTCGTGTGCTCCTCGACCTCCTGCTGCGCCTGCGCTTCGGCCAAGGGAGGAAACACTGTCCCGACCCCCATACGTGCTTGGCGTTTACGGAACGGCCCATGGACGCTCACCAAACAGCCCCGTCCTGTTCGATTCCTGCCTTGGGTGCGTGGACTGCACGGTCTCGCTTGTCGGGGGGTGCCTATCACGAGTTTTTTTTTTTTTTCTCTCTGCTTCCTCTTCAGGACCCACGAGCACCACTGCAGACCGCTGGCCGCCAGCAGCGGCCCTGTAGGGTGGCGCGCACAGCGGGCGCCGATGCCGGCGCCCCTGCCGCCTCCTGCGTCGGCAGGGCCTCGCCGGAGGTGTCCTTCTGTCGGCTGCGGGCGCCGCCCGCGCAGGACGACGGCGTGCGTGCCTGCCGGGAGCTGCCCGGGGGTGACGCGCCAGGTGCTCACTGGCCGACTCGTCGGCCTCTGGGTCGCGCGCCGGGCCGGCGCGGTGCAGGCATGCCACTGAGCCGTGCGCCGAGCGCAGTTGCCGCAGTTCGAAGTCTTCCTCCTCCTCCTCTTCCTCTTCCTCATCTCCTCCTCCTCCTGCTCCTCCTCCTTATCCTTCTCCTTATCCTCCTCCTCCTCCTCCTCCTCCTCCTCTTCCTCCCGCACCCCTCTTGCTGACACTAGGTGTGCTGTTGACGGGGCTTCTTGCTGTGGGCCAGCCTGGGCCAGGTGTGTCTCTGGCGCGCAAGTGTGTGGTCACGCATGGGCAGGTTGCCCCGCGCACGTCGCCCGCGGTGGAGCCCGTCCGAGAGACAGACATTAAGTGAGGATATGCTTTCAGCCCTGCTCGAACGCCGATTCTGCACTCAATATTTGGAACCCGATCTGGGTGCGGAACGAAGTGCGCGTGGTCGGACAAATGACATGGAAGAACGACGTGTACAGGCATGGCCATGAGGAGCGGGAGGGGCAGGTGGAGGAGGAGGAGGATGTGGAGATAGCAGTGTGCGTACGCCTTTGTACACAGCAGTGAAAAGACAGTTGCATTGTCTTCAACGGACGCTGCCTACCGCCACTGCGTGCGTGACAGGCAACGGAAGAAGGAAAGGAGAAGCAGCAATACGAGGGGAGGTGCCAAACTTGGACCGCGAGAAGAAGTGGCAGTTCACGCCCGTCGCCAACATCAAGGCGCCGGCCACTGCTCTTCGTCTGCTGCCCTTCGGCCACGCGCAGAGGGGGGTCGTGGGAGGGGGGGAGGCTTCTTAGAAGCATCCCTGCTTCTCAGAAGGCGCGGGCCTCGTCTCTAGATGTAGGGCCGACGCCTTTAAGAAACAACACCCTTCTGAGGAGCCTTCCCCACTCCCCCTACCCTTCTCTGCGCGCTGCCACTTCCATTGTCGCGATTCCCCCGCGCCATTCCACCAGCGTTCAGACACCTCCAGGCCTCTGACCACTTTTTTTGAGAGTCGCTGTTCCATGGAACTTTCGACCCCTCCCTGGGACCGCCTCTTTATCCTGAACTGTTCCTGACCCCCCCAGAATATGATAACAACAAAATCCTGCATTGTTTCCGACGGCCCTGGGGCTTGGAACGTGCCTCTGGAGGTCTCCAGGATTCCAAACCTCATTTCCAGGAGCTGATACGACAGGTTCGCGCCGCGTCGACATGGCGGCGACCCTGGTGCGTACGCTGAAGGCTGAACGCCGTTGTCGGCCAGCATCGAAGGCTCCGCGCTGTTGGAAAGCCGCGATCGGTCAGGGTTGTACGATCCCAGCGGTGGCGGAAACCGACTTCGACGTCATGACACGAACCTGCCAGTGCGTTTCTGGGGGAAGCTCGTGTCGAGACCTTCTCTCTTGCTGGGAGCGCGCTGTCGCAATCGGTCGGCAGAGTCTCGACCGCGCCCGCGGGACAGGCCTGCTCGCCTGGGGTGGTTCTTCCGCTGCGCCTCGTGTGAGGAGCGTTCTTGATCTTCGACTCCTCGACCCCTCGACACTCGATCTTCGATCCTCTATCATCGGCCCTCTGTCCTCGATCCTCGACTCCTTGACCCCTCGATCTTCTATCCTGGATCATGGATCTTCGACTTTTCGACCCCTCGATCCTCGATCCTCGATCGTCGATCCTCCGTCCTCGATCCTCGAACCTTGATCTTCGAGTCTCGCGCCTCGATCATCGAGCCTCGAGCCTCGAACCTTGCTTGAACCTCGAGTCCTCGATCTTCGTGCCTCGGCATCTCGACTCGCTCGATCCTCGAACCTCGATGTTCGACCCCCTCTCTTTCTGTCTCCCCTGGCGGCTCATGGGGGCCGCCCGTCCGCATTCGGAGGTGGGCAGTCTCGTCACTGGGGGCGACGTCGTGGGCATCGTGAGGGAGAACGGCCTGTTCAAGGACATCCCGCCCACCTCGCACCATCGTTGCCAGTAGGCACTCCCACAGGAGAGAGGAGGCTGGCGGAGAGGGGAGGAGGAGACAGAAGGACAGGGGGACAGGAGGGCAGGGTGAGGAGAAGGTGTTTGCGTACGTATAGCCCTCCATGTTGCTGTGCACTCTGCCGTTTGGCTCAAGTGTTTAAGCCCGCCATCTGGCGGCGCTAGTTGCACCTATATCTGCCCTTCATTCGCTGAGAGTAAAAAGAGAGTTTCATCCTCATTACCACTGTCCTGTTAAGTTTGCATGGTAGCGGAGCGAAGTGCTGGCAGCGATACCGGATCAGGTGATACCCACCACCAGGCAATAATGGATCTAAACCAATTTGGTGAATGAAGTCAACTGCATGAATGCATATATATATATATATTTAGTCAAGGCAGCGCTGCAGCTCAACCACGATGCGACCACAAGTTACCTCAGATAGTAAGAAAGGCAAGGGATTCGATGGCTGACCAGCGAGCGCATGCAAATGTTCGCCAGATTAAGCGCAGCCCTGCTGAGCATCATGCGCCGATGCAGAAACAACAAGAAGAGACACACTACAGTAAAGAGGGACTGGGGATCAACAACAGTTTTATGTAAGGATCCCGATTTCAACAACAACATTGTTTGAAATCGGGATGAATACAATTTCTTCTTTGGGTTCATAAGTTTTTTTAGGCCCTGGATGCACGATTCATGTAAGCGGTGTGCCACATTGGCCGATTGACGCCGTCGATGGCTCGGGCGTTGGGGTATGAATCGTATTTTTTCTGGTCTTGGAGGGGGAGGGGAGGGAGGAGGCTCGGGTGTTGGGGGTTCAACAGTTTCCTCCTGTTCCAGAGCAGGGAGAAGGGGAGCGGCATTGCATTGCATTGCATTGCATTGCATTGCACTGCATTGCACTGCACTGCATTGCATTGCATTGCATTGCATTGAGCTGCGATGCATAGCATTGCGTTGCATCCAGTTGCGTTGCGTTGCGTTGCATTGCATTGCGTTGCGTTGAAGTGCATTGCATTGCATCGGTTGCACTTGTAATTGTAATAGTTTGCATTGCAGTGGATTGCAGGCCAGGGGCAGGAGGGAAAGAGAACAGAGGAAGGTAGAGACGAGGAGGAGGAGGAGGAGGAGGAGGAGGAGGAGGAGGAGGAGGAGGAGGAGGAGGAGGAGGAGGAGGAGGAGGAGGAGGAGGAGGAGGAGTATTTTTGTTCGCTCCTCTGGCTCTTCTCATCGTCGTCGTCGCCGTCGTCGGCGTCGTGGCATTATCAGCCACCGTGCCTCGAGGCACCAAGTGGAGCGTCGTCGCAAGAGCTCTCTGTATTTGCTCTGCACGTGGCGAGATAAGAGCAGGGCAGCAGTTGTGTGTCGGACTCCTCGTCGCTGCCCCGCGACGAGCAGAGCGGAATCGCATCTTGTTCGCCCGCCCGGGCATGGCCACGCGACGCGTGGGGCGGGATGCTTTTTTCTTGGGCTCACGCAGCGCCGACGGGCGCTGAGGCGCGCCTTACGTTGCAGCGCCTTGCGTTGTTTGTGCAGTGCGTTGCACTGCATTGCGTTGCGTTGCGCTGCATTGCGCTCAAAATTCTCCGGCCCTGGAGGGGGCAGGGCAGAGGGAGGGAGGAGAGGGGAGGAGACAGCCCAAGACGGCCAGAGAAGTGCCCGAAACGGCCAAAGATGGTCCCAAGACGGCCCCAAGAGTGCCCCAAGACGTCGTGTTCGTCGCCGTCCTCGTCCTCGTCGATGTGGCATAATATTTGGTCGGCCCCCGCGGCGTTGCCAGATGTTGACTATTGGAATGGGATGCTATTTCTTTGCGCCTAGGCGTTGCCACGTGGCGAGTTGTTTGACGTAGTATTGTTTTGTTCGGCCCCTGCGGCACTGTCACGTGAGGAGTGCGATTGGTTTTGTTGTGTTTCGAACCGCCCCAAGGCGTTGCCAGACGACGAATTAACGGAGCAGTATTGTTTTTTCGGCCTTCGCGGCGCTGCCACGTGACGAAGAGAGCGGACTCGTACGTCTCTCGCCGGCCCAGGCGTTGCCACGGTGCCGAGTGGAGGAGCGGGATGGTTTTTCCTCGTCCACCGCGGCGCTGCCGCGCGACGGGGCGCACACTGCATTTTGCAGCGCACTGCACTGCAGCGCACTGCATTGCACCGCAGTCGCCTGTGCAGGGCACTGCGTTGCGCTGCGCTGCGCTGCACGGGCGCGAGAGCGGCGAGGCGCGCGGGCGAGCGGGCGCGTGGGCGCGCGCGCGCGAGCGCCCAGGCGCGCGGGCGGGCGGGCGAGCAGGCGGGCGGGCGCGCGGTCGCGCGGGCGGGCCTGGGCGTGCGCGCGGGCGGGTGCACGGGCGAGCTCGCTCGCGGGCGGGCGGGCGTCCTCGTCGCCGTCGCCGTCGCCGTCGTCTTTGTCGTCCACGTCTCGGTGGTCGTCGTCGTCGTTCTCCTCCTCCCTCTCCTCCTTTTCCTCTTCTTCCCTCCTGCGACACCCCCCCCGCCCTCTTTTCTCCTTCCTCTTTCCATGCTTCTCCCTCTTTCCTCTCTCCTCTTCCCGTCCTCCGTCTTCCGTCTCCCCTCCTCCTGTCGCTCCCCTCCTCTCCTCCTTTCTCCCCTCCGCTCCTTGTCCTACTTTTTCATGTCGTCCCATCCCTAACAGGAGCTTCGAGGAAGCAATGGGCGGGACCATTTGGATTTGAGTTTTGCTACCAGCCTGATACGTTGACACGCTTGGGACGATGCTTGACTAGAACGCCTTGGATGGGTCTTCATCTGCGCGCTTGGGACAGGAGGACGAAGGCTTGAACGCTTGGGACGGCGCTTGACTGGAGGCTAAGCCTTGCAGTTTGGTGAAGATGTAGTTTGTGCTTGGTCCGGTGCTAGCTTATCATTGCAACCGACTGGCGAACGGGAGCCGATTATCCAGCACCTTGGCCCCGCCCTGGGCAGGGCCAGGGTGCATCAGAAAGCGAGCGCCCGTGCCTGGAGGAAGTCATACAGCAGTGCCCACTTCCCATTGTACAAGAGGACCCGGGAATCATCACACGACGCCCTGCTGTGCGCGATGGCTTGCCTCTTTCGGAAGTTCACGGACGGGGCTTGAGTAGCAAGCGCGGGACGGGGCACTCACCAGCTAGTGACGCTCGTGGGTACAACCGCTCAGGCCCCCCTCTGTTTCTAGGCCCCGGCCCGCGCGTCCGGCGCGGCCACTGGCGCGCCCAAGCGGCGGGCGGGCCCTGTTGGCGGGGCCACTTGGCGGGGCACACTGGTTGAGGCTACGATTTGCTGACCCCTGCATAGGACTCGCTGCCAATCCATCATTGGTCAAAATTCCACCGCCGACCGTCGCAGCCAGATCTTCGCTCTCTCTGGGGATTTGGTCCTCCCAATTGTTCTTCTCGTCTTCTCTCTGCGTCCTCCTATTCGCACTGTTTTTCTTGTCACTTCGTCGTCGAATTCGCCCTTCCATTCGCCCGGTCCAATTCGCCCCGCAATTTGCAATGGATGCGTTTTCAATTTGCCCTGGCCACGGTCTCATTTTGCCCCGGCAGCGATCGCTATTTGCCCCAACCGCACGTTCAATGCGATGGTGACGATGTCGGTACGGCATGCGTGCCCATAGATACCGTGTATATGTGACAATGCAGGCCGTGCATGTGTTACAATACATAACGCGGCTACAGGACACACACTAGCGCGTATGTTACATACATCAATGTTATAATGCAACGGCGACGGCGGCGGCGCCTAATTACGGCCTTGCCAGCTGCAGCGCCGACAGCGTCGTCGACAGTAGTGCCGACAGCTGCACCGACTGCCGCGCCAACCGCGGCATTGACGATGGCACCGATTGGTATGCCGACAGCTGAGCTTACTGCGACGCCATCAGCCGCGACAGCTGCGGAGACGTCAGCCGCTCGGGCAACAGCATTGGCAGCGGCGCCGACAGGCACGCCTACAGCTCCGCCGACAGTCGTGCCGACTGCCGCAGTGAGGGCTGCGCCGACGGGGACGCCGACCGCCTCGCCGACCGCCGCGCCGACAGCGGCGCTGACGGCAGCACCGACGGCGGCGCCTATGGTGGCGCCGACTTCTTGTTCACCGACTGCGGCGCCAACGATGACACCGGCCCTGTCCCCAACGGAGGCATCGACAGATTGCGACTACCGCGGCACCGACCGCAGCTCCGACCGCGGCGCCTGCGGTTGAGCCAGATGCGGCATCGTTGGCCGTGCCGACAGCGGTGCCAACGAGGCCATCGATCAACCCTTCGAGAGGCTCGCCGACGTCGGCACCGGCAACGACGCCAACGGCTGTGCCGACCGCCGCGCTGGGAGTTGCGCCAGCGGCCGCGCCGACAACGGCGCCGACAGCAGTACCGAATGTGACGCCGACATTGGCATCGACTGGGGGACCGACAGCTGCGCCGACTGTGTCGCAGACAGCGGCGACGACAGCTGCGCCGACGGCCTTGCCGACGGCAGTGCCGACAGCAGCGTCGACAACTGCGCCGACCGTAGCACCGCCAGCTACGACGCCGCTTGCACCGTTCTCGGCACCGACGGCCGCCTAGATACCCCCCCTCTGGGCGGCCTGGACACGTGAAAACACTTGGCCCCAGCAGTAGGGACCACCATGTTAGATACCCCCCATGGGTGGCCTGGACATGTAGAAACACGTGATTCCAGCTCGGAACCACCATGTTCGATATCCCCCTGGATGGCCTGGACACGTGAAAGCACCTGGTTCCAGCCGGGGACCACCATGTTAGATACCCCATCTGGGTGGCCCGCACACGTAAAAATAAACTTGGTTCCAGCTCGGAGCAACCATGTTGGATACCCCTCTGGGTAGCCTGTGGATCCAGCTTGGGACCACCATGTTAGAGACTCCCCTAAAAAATCTAGAAAATCACCAGCCGAAGAAATTGTGTCAATTTATTACACGTGGTGTGTCGATGTATTGACTATGTCTGGCCCTGGAGGGCCCCACCGCTGGAGAGGCCCAGACGACCACATGTTAAATACCCCCCACCCCGTGGGTGGCCGGCACACGTAAACACTCACGGTTTTCAGCTTGGGAAAACCATGTTAGATACCCCCTGGATGGCCTGGACAAGTGAAAACACGTGGCTCCAGCCCGGGACCACAATGTGAGATGCCACCCTGGGTGGCCTGGACACGTGAAAACATTTGGTTCCAGGTCGGGGCAACCATGTGAAATACCCCAGGGGAAACCTGGAAACTGGAAACTCACCAGCCGAAGAAACTGTGTCCCGTTATTACACATGCCGCGTCGATGTATTGCTTTTGTCTGGCTCTTGTGGGTCCCACCACCCACGCTGGGGGCTCCCAGGCGACCACATGTTACATACCCCCGTGGGTGAACCGCACATGTAACAACATCAGGTTCCAGCTCGGGGCAACCGTGTTGGATACCCCTCTGGGGGGGCCTGGCCACGTAAAAACACGTGCCTCCAGCTCGGGGCTGGTCCGCGCCGCCGTCGGCGCTGCTGCCCGTACCGCATTTGGCGCGGCCGTCGGCGCCGCAGCCAGCGCGGCGGCCGGCGCGGCGGTCAAAGCCGCCGTTGTGGCCTCTTGCCCCTCGCTGGAACCACCTGTTTTCGTGTGCCCAGGTCGCCTAGAACAAAAAGGTACAGAGCATGGTGACCCCAACAGGCTGGAGCCATGTGCTTTCACGTGTCCGGGCCGCCCCGAGGGGTGTCTCTCATTGCTGCCCCGAGCTGGAACTGTTTTTTTTACGCACAGCCCTCGGCACAGTACATCATCGTCGATACATTCAGCACTGCATGTGCCCGTCGCCCAATCAGGTGTTTTTGAAATGTTGAAATGCCTTACATTTCTATATTCCTTTCCGGGTTCGTGGGTCGATCATGTTTTACGTGTGCGGGCCACCCAAGAGGTGCATCTAACATGTGGTCGTCTGGGCGCCCCCCGCGTGGGGGCCCACCAGAGCCAGACAGACCAATCCGCTGACGCCACGTGTGTGATAATCGGACACAGTTTCGTCGGCTTTGTGATCTTCCTGGTTTCCCCTGGGGCATCGAACATGGTGGTCCTGGGCTGGAGCCGCGTGTTTTCACTTGTCCAGGCCACCCAGAGGGGGTATCTAACATGGTGGTCCCGAGCTGGAACCGCGGTCGCGGTCGTCGCCGTCTGCCGCCGTTGTTGTCGGCAGCGTTTCGGCCAGACCCTTCTCGATGCATTTCGCCTCGGTCTGGATTCGCCCTGTTGTGGAACATATGTAGTCCTTTCAGAGGGTCTCGATTGCGATCAGCTTTGGGCAAGCGATGCGCCCAGACAGCTCGAGCTGGAGGCCCAGTTCAGTTGTGTCAGGGTTCGGATGCCGGGGAAGATTTGATCCACGACGCAATAGAGCACAGAACTGTTCAGTTTCGCCCCCTTTCGGCTCGTCCCGCTTTCTGGCTGATTCGGATCTTGAGCTCGAGCTGGTCGAGCGCCCAACGCGTTTCGATTGCGGCCAGATCTGAGCTATGCATATAGGCAGCTCGAGCTCAAGATTCACATCAGTTCGATCGTGATTCAACGCGGCATGGTGCGTCTCAGTTCATCACAGCACAGCACGGCACAATCCCTGGCACTGTACATGACCATCGCTACCTTGAGCATCGCGATTGCCCGTCGCCCAAATGCGGTGTCTTGAGCAATTTCCATGCTTCACATTTCTATATCCCTTTCTGAGCTTGTTGGTCGACCATATTTCCCTACCTAGGCTCTGCCTAGAAGGGTTCTTACTCTCTTGGCTTAAAGGGCCGGGCAGTGGGAACCGGCCCGGGCGGTTCCCCCAGTATCCGCCCCGCGGTTCCCCCAGATTCCCTACCTAGGCTCTGCCTACAGGGTTAGCTCAGCTTAGCTTAGCTTAGCATAGCGCAGCGCTGCATTAGCATAGCATAGCATAGCATAACATAGCCAATGCTAGCATAACATAGCATAGCATAGCGCAGCATATCATATCATAGCATAGCATAGCATAGCATATCATAGCATAGCATATCATAGCATAACATAACATCGCGCAGCTTAGCATATCATATAATAGCTTAGCATAGCACAGCGCAACATGACATGGCATAGCTTAGCATAGCATAGCATAACATAGCATATCATATCATAGTGCAGCATATCATATCATAGCATAACATAGCATAGCATTTCATAGCATAGCATAGCATAGCATAGCATCGCATAGCGCAGCATCGCATAGCGCAGCATAGCATCGCATAGCATCGCATAGCATAGCATAGCATAGCATAGCAACTAATGCTGCTTTCCTAGGGGCTCCAACTTCTAGGTAGGGTCGCACTGGGGTAATTTGTTGTTGCTCTCTCCTTCTCTCTCTCTGTCTGTCTCTCTCTCTCTCCCTGGGCAGGACCGTCCCCGCCCCCACTGGAACGTGGTAGATGAGCTTTCACAGCAGATCCCCTCGAGGTGGGGATGAGCGTCGCGAGACCCGAAGGGGACGGCACCCGTCTCCGCCCAGCCTAGGAGGGGTAGGTCGGCCAGCGGGGCTAATGTTTCCCGGGTGGGGGTGGGTGAGCATGGCGTGTTTTGTCCAGACTGGCCCCCCCCCTCTCCAAGGGTGCGGAGGGAGGCCGGGCCAGAGCCGCCCGCGAGCCGCGCCAGGAACACAAGATCATGGTGCCGCCCAACGTCCAGGGCAAGGTCAAGAAGCAACTGCCCGCAGGCCTGCCCCGCCTCAGTGAAGCAGGGGGGCGGCGGCGGCGGCGGCGGAACTCTCCTAGTACACGAGTCAGGCGATGCACAAATATATACCCATACACAGCCGGGGAAACATATAACACAGTCAACAAGACGACCATCGTGAATGAACTGCAGACGGCAACGCCCAAAGAGGATCATTATTTGATATTCGCCTTCCAATGTTGGCAGCGTGCGCAGGCTTGCGCCATGGGCCAGGTCATTGATATGCCACACTTTGGCTTGCGCGCCCAGTTGCAACATTGGGAGGCAGACGCCACTTAATGCCCGGGTGCTCTTCCAATTTGATCTTTCACAGGGCCGCTGGCGTGGGCGGTTCCACGTTCTGCCTTGCGGTTTCGTTCCCACCAGTCGGAAGGCTAACATCCAACACGCAATGCAGACGAGACGTTTTTGCAGAATATAGGCAGGTTGGTGTCGCTTGATGCGACGGCCCCGCCTGGACTGATTCAGCATCTTTTCGGCTTCCATCCCTGTGCCACGTTTGTTATAGATTTCTTTCACGGGGATGTATACATATGCGTGCATCTGTATGTATTTATATATCTATATGTGTATACATATTCACATATACATATACACATATATATATATGCATATATATATATATATATGCATATCTTTCTCTCTATATATGTATTTATCGGGGTCCTAGCGGATTCTTATGGCAAGGTGAGGTTCGTCGCCAGTTTCGGTGGCCCGGGGGTGCCGGATGTGCCCGGGGGTGTCCGGGTGCCCGGGTGCCCGCTAGCTTTGCAGCCCTATAGCCGTATAAACCTATAGCCCTATAGCCCTGTGGCCCTATAGCCGTATACCCCCATAGCCCTAATAGCCCTGTGGCCCTATAGCCCTCTAGCCCTATAGCCCCATGGCCCCATTGTCTTATAGCATTTTAGCCTTATAGCCGTGTAGCCCCACAGCCGTATATCCCTGTAGCCCTAGGGCCTATAGCCCTCCAACCCCGTAGCCGTAAAGTCCTATAGCCTTATAGCCCCAGGGCGTTAGATCCTTATAGCCTTATAGCCCCGTAGCCTCGTACTTTCGTAACGATTATGATTGGATTTTAGCCGGTATCATGTGTGCGCATGCATATGTGTGTGTACTTCTGGTATATATATAGTTTTATATATATATTTATGTATATGTATGCATGTTTGCACATGTGCGCGTGTGTATGTATGTGCGCATGAATTGGATGCATACATTTATGCATGTGTGTATGTCTGTATATAAGTAGGTCTGTACGTGTGTATGTATTTGTGCATGCATGCAAGTAAACGTGCGAGTATGTATGCATGTATTTAGGTGGCTACGTACACATGTGTGTACGTATGCATGCACGTATTTGCGCATGAACTTATGTATGTACGTGCGGATGCATGCGTTAAGTATACTGTGTTTTTACATGTGCATACTGTATCGATGCATGTAATATGTGCGTGCGTGCATGCATGCATGTACGTGTTTCTGTGTATGCATGTATGGATGCATTTGTGTCAGGATGTCTGGGCGCATGATTGTACGTTTGTATGTATGTATACAGGCTTGTTGTTTGTATGTTCACATTTGTGAACTCATGTATTATGTGAGCTTGTGCCTATGTGTGGGTGTGCGTACGTACGTGTGTACGTGCGTCTGTACGTATGCGCGTATACATGTATGTACGTGTGTACGCACGTGCGTTGTGTATGCATGCATATGTGTATGTTTGCATCCATGTTGTGATATATATATATATATATATATATATATATAGATATGTATAATTGCGCGTGTATTCATATGCGTATGTATGCATGCATCAATATTCTTATGTATATTCATATGTGTATGTATATGTATATGTAAATGCGTGTGTCTGTTTGTAGGTACATATGTGTGTATATGTTTGTACACAAATATGTACAGTTGTATGTATGTAGCATCAGATTTTTTTTTATGTATTTCCACACATCTGGTATATGCATGTGCGTTCGCATGTGTATTTGTATGTGTATACGTATGCGTGTACGTGCATGTATGTATGTGTGTTTATATATATATATATATATATATATATATATATATATATCCGTTAGGGCTTCGCCCCCTTCCGCCGGCCCCCTCTCTCGGATAATGGGATCTGTAAAATCTAAATCATGAGGTATGGGCGCCGCCGTGAAGCAGTGTCGGGACCTGTTTGCTTGTCGACTCTGACCCTACTGATCTGCTTGCGGGGGGCCGCCGGATTTCAGAAATATGGCAAACCCTTTCTGTGTTTTTTGGACCCTGACCCTACGGATCTGCGTGAGGGGTGCCGCTGGATTTCATAGGTGTTGCAAATCCTTTTACGTTTTTGCACCCTGACCCCGCCGATCTGCATGAGGGGTGCCACCGGATTTCAGAAATGTGGCAAATCCTTTGTGTTTTTGCGCCCTGACCCCGCCGATCTGCGTGAGGGGTGCCACCGGATTTTAGAAATGTGGCAAATCCCCGGTGCATTTGGACCCTGACCCCGCCGATCTGCGTGAGGGGTACCACCGAATTTCAGAAATGTGGCAAATCCTCTTTGTGTTTTTGGTCCCTGACCCCTCCGATCTGCGTGAGGGGTGTTAATTTCTACACCCCAGCAATTCAGACAATACGTTTTGGGCGTGGTAGAAATGTCCGTTTTGGGCCGCCCCCCTTCGCGCGGTCCATCAACAAGGAACAGTAAGCAGCAATAGTTCAACAAGGAACACTAAGCAGCAAGAAGCAGAACTTTAACAGTGGAAATTGGAAGCTGCAACTGGTACAGGAAACTGCGAAGCTTCGGCCTACAGCCTGGTGGCCCCACAAGGGGGCCGGCGGGGATATGTATGTATGTATGTATGTATGTATGTATGTATGTATGTATGTATGTATGTATGTATGTATGTATGTATGTATGTATGTATGTATGTATTTATGTAGGTATGTATGTATGTATGTATGTATGTATGTATGTATGTATGTATGTGTGTGTATGTATGTATGTATGTATGTATGTATGTGTGTGTATATATATATATATATATATATAGCGGTGCACTCGCACGTGGGAGGGGGCTTGCGTGTCCTCGGCTATCCCATATCGGAGAGAAGGAGGGAGGAGGAGGGAGGGAGGAGGGAGGGAGGAAGACGGTTGAGAGAGGAACAGGGAACAGCTCAGTGACGATATCCGTTTCGAATGTTGGCCGACAGGCAAAGGGGCTCCTGGCTCGCGATGAGAGCTGGAGCTGGGCGCCGCACGGGTGCGCCGAGCGCGGTCGTTTCACAGCTTTCTGGAACGCTCTCAGAGCGTTCCGGAACGCTCTGATACGACCGCGGCGCCCGATACATCCTCCAAGCCCGCCGGTTTGCAGAGATTTCCGATTCACATCTGTCCGATTTTGTCTCGATTTTGCCTTCGCCTAGGGGGGTGGGGAAGAAGGTCATCGGCCAGCGTGCTGCGGCCACTGTCAGATGTAATTCCGCAGTTCGAGCCGCTCCATGTGGGCTGGGCTGTGCCCTCGGTGTGGGCGCCACGGCTTCCTGACCCGAGACGGGCGTATCTGGAGTGCAGCGTGAGGCTGTCTTAGAGCATGAGGAAGACGATAATAGTTGGACGACGATGATGATGCTGCTGATGGTGATGATGATGATGATGATGATGATGATGATGATGATGATGATGATGATGAGGAGGAGGAGCATGATGATGATGATGATGATGATGATGATGATGATGATGATGATGATGATGATGATGATTGTGGTTGTGGTGGTGGTGATGATGATTATGTTGGGTGGTGGTGATGATGATGAGGAGGATGAGGAGGAGGAGGAGGAGGAAGAGGAGGAGGATTATGATGATGATGGTGGTTGTGGTGGTGGTGGTGGTGATGAGGATAATGATGATGTTGGGTGGTGGTGGTGATGAGGAGGAGGATGAGGAGGAGAAGGAGGAGGAGGAAGAGGAGGAGGAGAAGGAGAGGAGGAAGAGGAGAGGAGGAGGCTGACGAGGAGGAGGAGGAGGAGGCGGAGGAGGAGGAGGAGGAGGAGGAGGAGGAGGAGGAGGAGGAGGAGGAGGAGGAGGAGGAGGAGGAGGAGGAGGAGGAGGAGGAGGAGGAGGAGGAGAAGGAGGAGGAGGAGGAGGAGGAGGAGGAGGGGGAGGGATGCGCATAGCATGAGGAGGTAAAAGGGGAGTCGAGAGGAAATTTGCGTGGGTGGCAATTGGCGATAGTATGGAGAGTTGAAGAGGTGTGGAGGTACGTTGGACCCTGCTCTAGCCACGTCTTTGATGGCCGAGGGTCCATAGAGGAGTCCTCGGCCCCCTCCAGTGGCATTTGACGCCATCATAATAGGTGGGACTGGGAACCCACGCAGCCCATATGATGGAAGCTGCGCGGGGAGTGAGGCCCATTGACGGTCTTCACAGGCGATGCCTAAAGACGGTCTTCGCCGGAGGGGGGAGGACAGGAGAAGCGTTGATGCCTTTGGTGGCGGCGCTCTCGGTGGCGAAGGGTCCTGGGAGATCACCAGCTCTGCAATCGAAGCTGGGGTCCTAAGGCGGGCTCCTGGAAAGGGGGATTCTGAGAAGACTCTGCCGACCCGGCCAATGCCACGACCGCGGCGACGAAAACGACGACGACGACGACCGACCGACCGACGACCGACGGGGGAGGAGGACGACGGGGACTGCAGGGTTCATTTCTATCCGATCGATCCGTTTCGATATCGGCCAGATCGATCTGATCAGACTCCGATATTCTGGCGATCCGATGCGGCCCGATGCTTGCATGGCGCTGCTGTGCATCCTAGAGTGGCCGATCCGATCCGAATTCGACTCCGTGCCGATGCGGCACGATCCAGTGCAGTTTCCGATCCGATCCGATTTCCCGATTCGATGCTCACTGGCCCTGGGAGGACGAGGAGGAGGTGGAGGAGGAGGAGAAGGAGGAGGAGGAGGGGGAACAAGGGATCCAATCTGCAGACGGGATCGGAGTTTGTCTCTCCGCCGTCCCCCCCTTCTGGGCGAGGCTCCTACGTGATCGAGACGGCGGTGCTGGAGGTCGAGGACGCCGGCAAGACGACCAACGTCACGCTGTTCCAGAGGCGGGCCTCTCCCGTTCTGCCACCCGCGCGCCCAACCTTCGCGGCTCCCCGATTTGGCGGGGGCGAGGGTGGGGGGGCAGCTCCAGGGAGAACCGTCGTCGTCGTCGTCGTCCTCGTCGTCCTCGTCGTCGTCCTCGTCGTCCTCGTCGTCCTCGTCGTCCTCGTCGTCCTCGTCGTCGTCCGCGTCGTCGTCCTCGTCGTCCTCGTCGTCCTCGTCGTCCGCGTCGTCGTCCTCGTCGTCCTCGTCGTCCTCGTCGTCCTCGTCGTCGTCGTCGTCGTCGTCGTCGTCGTCGTCGTCGTCGTCGTCGTCGGCGTCGGCGTCGGCGTCGGCGTCGGCGTCGGCGTCGGCGTCGGCGTCGGCGTCGGCGTCGGCGTCGGCGGCGGCGGCGGCGGCGTCGTCGTCGTCGTCGTCGGTGGGCCGGGGGTGGGCCACGGGCGGGGCCCCCCCGGGGGGCCCTGGTGGAGCGGAGCGGGGAGGTCCTGCGGAGGAGGTGTCCGCGGAGCTGCCCGTAGGGGCTTACGCCCAGAGGAGGAGGAGGAGGAGGAGGAGGAGGAGGGGGAGGAGGGGAGGAGGAGGAGGAGGAGGAGGGGAGGAGGCGGAGGAGGAGGAGGAGGAGGAGGGGGAGGAGGAGGAGGAGGAGGAGGAGGAGGAGGAGGAGGACGAGGGGTACCGATACGGTCACCCTCGCCACGTTGGCGCCCTCTTGGGCCTCCTGGGAGGCCCTCGCCGCCGCCGCTGGGTTCGCCTCGAGAGTTGATCGGAGCGCACCCCGAGAGAGGTCCGGGGAGCAGCGGTGCTGGTGCCTTCTGTTGGGGTTTCCCCTCGTACCCCGGGGGGCAGCGGCCACCCCGCGCCGTGGTCCGACATTCTGCAGGGCCTATAGGCCATCGGCGCCGGGGCGGGGGCTCGTCGTCGTCGTCGTCGGAGGGGAGGGGGAGAGTTAGACTGAGCACAAGGGGGGCCGACTGGTCGCCAAGCATTGTCGCTGTCATGACGGCACGTCGAGGCGACTCAGAGGAGATTGCCAGCACGGCTTCCGAGTCGGCCTGTGCTGACACCCACTGGAAAAGACGGATCGGCATCGTCTGACCGGTCCCCAGCAGGGCGCCCGCCCAGGTTGTGATGGCTTCCGCGAATGCCGAAGGGAACATCGAGTATCCCCACCTGGGGGGGGGCAAGTCGGCCAGTATTTTCAAGGCCGTGCCATTGGGGTTAGGGATCGGTTGAGTGATGCTCACGCGTACGAACGGCCGAGCTGCTCGTCTGCTGAAGCAGCACTGGCCCGGCCAGCACCCGCTCGGGCATGCAGCCCCCTTCGGGGGTGGCTCTCGCGGCGCAGGCACTCGTGATCCATTCTCCGAGCCCCCCCTCTCCGTCCCAATCGGCTCACGGACTCGTCCTGGGACGATTGTTTGAAGTTCATGTGAAGGTTGATCCACGACCTCGCATTCGCAGTCAATTTTGGAAGTTAGTTGCTCGATATAGCGGTAGATATGACAGCAGAGGATTTGGGATTGACCTCGTTTCACAAACATGCATTGCAAACTTGACAATATGCATTATGAGACCTGGAAGAAACAGTTCATCATCTCAGCATCTGAGAGGTTTAGGGCGTGGGGAGGCTTTCGGGTTTCCGCCCTTCATGATTTTTTGGTTTCACTGAAGTTTTTGTTGTTTCGCCTCAAAGTTTCGGGCTCGCCTTGCTACCCTTTGGCCCAGGATTCGACCTTGTGGCATTCGGCTCATCCCGCCACCGTGCATGGTTGTAGTTCAGAGGCCTCTTCGGGTTTTGTGGGCCCGAAAAAGTCATGCGGGAAGATGTGCAGGGAGCCCCAAGAGATTTTAAGATTGCTAAGGCCTTACGGCCGGTGCCGCCGACCCTGAAGACGACGACGACGACGACGGCGAATACGAAGAGGAGGAGGAGGAGGGGGATTAAGGTGGAAGGGAGCAGGAGAAGGCGAAGGAGATGTTCCCCATGTGGGCCGAGGGAGTCGTAGCAGAGACAGACAGGGAGCCTTGAGGCCTGCGGCCCTTCCCGCCACCGTGCTGGGGTTGTGGCTGAAAGGCCTCTTGGATGTTTTCGGGCCTGTTGGGGCCTCTGTTGGGCTTTTTGGGGTTCTCTTGGGGGCCTCTTCGGGCCCCTTGAGGGGCTCTTGGGGCCTTCCGGGGGCTTCTTGGGGCGGGAAGCTCGAAATGTCGATTCGTGGTCCTCTTCTTGGGCCTGCTTGGGGCCCTCTTAGCGCGTTTTGGCGCTTCTTTGGGCTCTGGACGCCCAGGGGCGGATGCGTATCTGACCCCCCCCGCCCCCCTTGGGATCCCCCCGGGACCCCCCCCAGAACCCCCCCCGGTACCCCCACCAGGACCTCCCCACCCCCTCTCGGCGGGAGAGGGATCAAAGGGAAGGGTTTCCCTTCGACTTAAGTACGACGTTGCTCCGGTTTTCTCTCGCTGGCAGGCTTGAATAGGAGGGTGCAGGGAAATGGGACGACGGAGACGCAGGGAAAGAGGACAACGGATGCGTCGACTGAGTGCACGCCGACAGGGGGTCCACACGCCGACAGGGTCGGCGGATTTTGGGGTCCGAGCCCCGTAAACGATCCTCAGGATTGAGGGCTGAAGCACCTGGAATAGAGCAAGGGACCCGCTGACACTCCAAATCCTGTCTCGCAGACACGGTGGCGGACAGGCGGAGATAAGCACCTCCACCGAACTCGGGATGATCCTCCAGCGCCAGAGGATCTTGACCGTCAAGAGTCACCGTCCATGGTCATCGTCATCCTCACGTGGAGCCATTCTCACAGCAGCCAGCCCGCCCCAGGCAGCCCGCACGTAGTCCAGACGGTCGCAGTCCCGAAAAATCCGATGCAGACGCTGCCAAAGTGACTCGAGTGGTGTTCTGGGTGAAGCCGAGGAGGAGCAACCGTTTGAAGTTGCGGCGTCCTGGCTGCTGGCTCGTCGGCTTTCGCTGCCACGGGTCGCCATTTTCGAGCCCCGCGGGCGATCACGGTCTCGGCCTCCGCTGAGCATCGCGCCCGCAAGTCATGGGAACGGTGATCATGACATCGCCAGGGCAGTTGTCTGCTGTCGTGCACTGCGTGCGCCCGCCACGATGCGCGTAGCCGCAGCGTGCCATCGACGAGCAGAGCGGACCAGGACCACTGCGCTTGCCAAGGGCACCGCAGGGCTTACCTCTCGCGTGTGCGCCGTCGCTCGCACCGAGTGCACAGCTCCGCATGCAATGGCAGCGCGCCTGATTTCACAAGATGCATCCTATTGCTGAGGCCTTACGGCCGGTGCCGCCGACCCTGGAGGACGACCCTCATGGGGGAACAGGGAGGCAGACAAGAGGGGGGAGGTCGGGATGCGACGCTCCCAAGAGTTTGCGGGAGCAGCACTGATTTGCTTTGGGAGTGTCCTCAGAAGACTACAGAAACCTTGGCAGACAGGTCTTGACATTCTTCTACGCCTCAAAGGTCCAGAACTGGGAGCCCTCTGTGTCCCCCGCGTCCGCGTGCAAGTAACAAGTTCTAGGAAACAGGGAGGGGACGTGCCTTGCAGTCTGGCGGCCTCGCAAGGGCAGCGCGCCTGATTTCACAAGATGCATCCTATCTTTGTTATCAGAGTGCCACTTGAATGAGTGCAGGCGAAGAATGCTTCGGGCACCAGCCAGGCGCTTTTGCCTGCCCCGGAGCGACAGGATACGGGCGATGTCCACCTCCCCATGTCTCCGCGCCCTCCAGCTGGCTTCTCGGACTGGGGCACGGTCTTTCTTCTCCTGCCGCGTATTGGGGGCGGCCTCCCCTTGCGTATGTTCACTTCCCGCCGCGCGCGCTGTGACGCCAGTCTCGCCATCTGGCCCAGGATGACCGCGCCATTGTCCTGCGGCGGCATCGTGGTGCCGTCACGACTCTGGAGCGCTCTGCTGCGCTGGAACCAACAGGCTAGCAGTCGAGGTGCTGCCAATCGGCAACCGAGCTTCGCGGGCAACGTCTTGCACCAATCTTCGAGCTCCCCCCCAAGCTGGTCTCTTAGATAAGGAGGGGAACTGGGAGATATACCCTCAGGGGGTTAGTCCGACGCGCCACTATCGAGGATGGTTTCCCTCCACCCCAAGGTTGGGCCCCAAACGATTGGGCTCATCGAGCGTTCCACGAAATCGGGGATTGGCGTCGCCAAACCTCTTGTTGAAGCTTCGCCTTCACCGCGCGTGCCGCAGGCGGCAGACATCCTGCGTGCGTTCTGCAGGGCGAGGGCTCAGCTCTCTCAGGGCGGCCCCGGCGAGCCTCCTGGAGGCTCGACGGCACCTGGGCGCGTCCCAGTGCAGTGGCAGACGAGCGTGTTTCGTCGTACGGCTCCCCCATTCCCTCGAAGCAGAAGCAACTGCGTGAGCGTACACTTTCGGAGCTCCGTGCGGATTCCGCGGGCCTGCCGTGCCTCCCCCTCCCCAGCGCGCGTCGATCCAAGAAGAACGCGCGGAGCCCAGAAAGTTTAGGCTTGTGCCGTCTTCTTCGTCGATCCTCCCTCTTTCAGCGAGTGCGTTACACTTCTCGCAAAGCACCCGCTCGCACGCGTAGCCCCCCCCGCGGCGGATCCAGGCCATTTGCGAGTGGTTGCTCGTGTACTTCTCCTCCTCGGGGCGTTCCAGACGCGAGGAGCCGAACGGTGTGCCTGCCCCGTGAGCCTCTTTGGAGATGCACCCTGACCAGACACCCGCCTTCCGCGACCGCCCTCCGCCTCTTTCTCCCCTCTGGCAGCCGGACAGTTCGTTCGACCGCCCCCCGCCACCCAGAGCGCACGTGCGGGTCCAGTCGACGCTGGGGCATCGGGCACCCCCGCTGGGGTCCCCTCCGCCGCAGAACCCCTTCACTCTCTGAAACCCCGCGGGCGTTTCAGAGATCTGGCCCGCAGGGGTAAGGTTCACATGTGGCTGTCTGAATTCGATGTGCACGTGATGCGAGCTGGATGATGTAGCGAAGATCCTCCATCCCCCCTCTCCCGCCCGCAGATTCTCGACATCTTGCTCTTTGCTCGCACTGTGGATCCCTGGAGGTCCCAGCCCCCCCAGGGAACAGCTTTTCGTCCCGAGCTGTTCCTTGATGGCCCTGGTACCCAGCCGGGGCCCCCTCCCAAGAGACCGGCAATATTCGTGATTCTTTCCGAACGCGGGGGGCCTGGGCACCTCAGGCAGCCCCAGGACAAGAGATATCTCAGAGCACCGTGGAGCGCTCTGGATCGGTGCGGCGCCCGATACATCCCCCAACGCCGCCGCCTCTCAGAGATTTTCGATGTATCTCGCTCCGGTCTTCTCGGTTGCAACTCCTGGGAGGTTGAATTCAGCATGCGCGCCGGTATATTTCTGGTCAAACATCGTCCTGATCTTGCTCAGTTCCAGTCAGTCTGGCATAAATCCCGCGTGATCTGGCTTGCTTACCCGAGTCCGTGCGGGTCCGATCTGGCTGAATGGCCTCTTGATTGGGTGAAGTATAGCACTTACTAGTTCTCACGGATACTCACAGGGGATGCCTCCCATGAGCCATCTCGCTCCGATCTTATGGCCCCCAAGCGGTGTGGTGACCACACCGTGTGGTGAGTCAGTGGGGCTTCCAGGCGGGGACTCGGGCCGTTTCCGAGGATGTCTCGGGCCAGCGGTGCCTCCAAGGCCCCCGAAGCCGTGCGGTGACGGACCGCGCGTGGTGAGGTCTGTGAGCATTCCGGGCCACCGCGCGGTTTGTCCCCGCAGCGGCTTGGGCCGCTCGGGTGCTCTCCCTCGCGTTTCCTCGGGCGTCTCCGCCCCGCTCTCTCTCCCCCTCTTGGCCTCGCCCCCCGCCCGCGCTCGTGGTGCGGCCCTCCCTCCACTCCGTCGTGCGTCCTCTCTGCCCCCCTGCAGCGCCACCGATGCTCGGCGGCGAGCCCGGGGGGGGGAGTGAGAAGGGGCGGGCCTTCTCGGAAGGCTCGGAAGTACCCCAGCCTTCTTGGCAGTTTTCAGAGTTTTTCCCGAAGACGCCGAAACAACCATTCAGAATGCCAGAGGCTTTCTGAGAAGTCCCGCCGCCCTCTGGAAAGGCCTTCTCCCTCTCGTTTCCCCCCCTTGCTCGCCGCCGATGTACACATGCATACAGCTTGCAGGGCGGCTGCCGCCGTCAAATACGTCTCCACTCCCCAACTATCATGCGCGTGCCCACGGGCCCATGCTCTGCCGCAGCCCACGGCGTGCCCCGACCCGAAGTTTGTCCCCGCCCCGCCGATAAGCCGAGGTGGCCCGTCCGCGAGGGGCGCCCGGTGGTCGACAAGCTGCCGGGCAAGGAGGCGGGCGCGCGCCCCGCCGCTGCGGCTCTCCGCTCCTCCTCCTCCCCTCCCCTTCTCGCTCCCGCAGGTGCTCGTACTCACAAGGTAGCGAACTCTCTCACGGGGCCGCCTAGGAGCTC